TGCTTCCGCTGCTCTTCCCGCCGGAGTTTACCAGGCGCCGCTTCCACTTCACATCTTGGCCAGCAAAGGAGCAGCTAGGGTTTCCTTTATTGGGCCTTGTCTCCAATTTCGGTCCATTAGCCTATGAAAGGCCCAAGTCCATAAGCTCTTATCAGGCTTCTAATGCTAATAAGCCCAGGTCTAGTTCTATAATTTCCTTGTTAAATCTACAACAATTTTTGTGTCGATCTTCTTATCTCTGTGGCCGAAGACTCCATGAGAGTGAAGGATTACCCTCATTGTTAAGGTTTAACTTCTATCAATTTCAAATCCTGGTTTTAGTTTCTCTTATGGTTTTGTGGTATGTTTACAAAAGCCTGAAGTTTAACACAACCCTCTCCAACACCTCCACTGCCCCAATAAATCCCAATTCCCACCCATCGCCTCAAGGATTGAAGCTCGGATCTGTTCTCATTTTTCACTGTCAAACCGGCTACACGCTTTGTGTGGAATTCCTTAACCTCCATGGCTACGTGCTTCATGTGAGGGAGGACCCACCTGCTCTGTTACGGTTTTGCATCAATCTTGTAAGTGTCCCGGTTATAGCTTCATCTAGAGTCTTGAGTTATGTTTCTATGAGTTTGATGGCCTTTGATCCATTGCTCCTAAACCTTCTCATGCTGGCGAGAAACCCAATTTGTGTCTCCTCCGTGGAACACTCTTTCAAAAGCTCGGATGCATTTGTTGCAAGAGCCGTCTATGACCATTTTTTGGTCGAGGATTTCGCGAAGCACGTCTTCAAGGTCGAATCCGCTATGGTCCCAAATGATTTTTCAAAGATTGTAAGCTTCTCAAAGTTGATCATCCTTTTGGAAAACTCATGGAACCTTTATCTTTATTTTCATTGTATTTTCTTTGATTCAAGCTGTTTGAACTTCCCTCTTTTGAGGTTTTAGATGAATGAAAGTTCTTGTTTGACCAAAAAAAAAAAAAATTCAAAATGTCGAATGCAGCTAATAGTAATATCAAGTTCTGTTACCCACAATTGGTTTATTCAACTCAGGATTTTGTTTCTGTGCTTTGTTCTTCAAATCTGTTGAATGAAAAAATAAGAATAACAGAGAAATGGGATTCTTTAATGTGTTCTCAGTACAGAGAGCTCTGTTATTTGCTCTGTTTTCATAACAGGATGCTCTGTTTTAACTCCGTGTTAGGACATAAAACTCTGTTTCTTTGCTCTGTTATCAGGTTGGTTTTGTTTGACTCAAATCAAATTTTATTATTGTTTTAAGATATAAAAGAAATAAACAAACAAATACAAATTGTGACAATGACAAAACAAATTATTCAGTAACCCATAAAGGGAAATAAATCTTTGAAACTCAAGAGGAAATTACAGAATCAAATCAACAAATCAAGTAGATAAAAAAAATTGAAAGAAACCAAACGGATCAAGTCCGTAAATGCTCTTGGTAACACGATCAGCCGAGGTTGCACTCCGTAGGCAGACCTTGAGGGAACCTCTTGTAGTCAGTACAATAGTTATATATCATATAATCATCTTGCACCCATTTCATCTGTCCGTACTGGTTTGAGTTAAGGGTAGTCCACATCCACGAGTTGCTATTTGCGTTACATGTCACCCAGTTCAACAACGAGGTCCGGCTGCAGCAGTCCACATCGTTGAAGCTTCTGTAAGAAGCGCTGAATGGAGCGTTGGTCCAATCTGTCTTGACTAGACCGCCTCGTGTGGCCCAATCATCAGCTTCCCATAGACTCGAGTAGATCTTCATCGGCTGGCTCTTAGGGTAAGCCACACCATTAGCCTCGTTGTTCTTGAACACTCGGATTGGGATTCCATCCACTAGAAAGCTTTTGAGATCCCCATGAAAAACAAAAAACATATAGTCAAGAACTGTCATGGATCAGTTTCCGCAATAATTATATCCATAACATGCTAAAAGTTCAAAAATTAAGAAAATCTAATTAATGTTGATAGGTCTAAAGTCTAAACAACCTATATAATATAAGTGTCGATAGATATGTTTTAAATCAGATTATAGACTGCTTTAAACGTTTGATTAACGTATACGATACTTTCATATTTTAAATTGGACCAATCGGTTACTTACATGATGTTGAGAGGGTTCCAAAGGACGGTGTAAGTGTGGAAATCCGCAGTTGGGTCGAACCATAGATAGAACTGCATTTCACGGTTACCTTTGCCTCCGGTGAACACATTTGTATGAAGAACGTAAGGCTGTCCTGTAACATTACCCAAGAACTCGAAATCTATCTCATCCCATGTTTCTCCTTTTGAAGAAAGCTGTGAAAAACATGCTAAATATTAGACTGAAAAATATATAAAAAAATGCCACAATATTTAAAAGAAATGAAAACAGGTGAAGTTTTCACATACGTAGTAAGCTGTGACGGTTCCGGCAGAGTTTCCAGCGACAAGTTTCATCTTCATGTCGATCTTTCCGAACAAGTACTCCTTCTTTGATTGAAAACCTGAACCAGAGACCTTGTCGAGAGTGCAAGTCAAGAGCTGTCCACTCTCAAATATATTGGCACGACCATTTCCCCAAGTGATATCGAAATTGTCGTAGAAACTTCCGGTAGTTACACCGATCAAGACCAGAAGAGACGACAACAACAACAAAGACTGTTTGGTCGCAAAAGCCACCATTTTTAGTGTGTTGATTTTTGCTCTGTTGTGGTTGTTTATATGTTTTCTGGAGGTTTGAGTATGATCGGAGAAGGGTGTTTGTTTATATAGCTAGATGTCCCTTCTAAAGGTGAATGCATCATCAGAGAGGTTCGTGGAGTCCCATTATAGACGTGGTAGTCTTATACAAGCGATAATAATTATTATTTGTAAATAAATTAATGTCAGGTTATATACCTGAATAATTTATATTGAAGTCGTTCAACGTACATTTAAATTATACATGTCCCTATTTTTTTCTGAGAACATTTTAATAACCCTTTAAGCTATTTATTTTCTTGTTTTTGGTCATGCATTTGGCTCACGTACGTTCATATAAGCTTGTTTCATGTGATAGTTTTTTTGGAACCAACATTGTGTTTTTCTGAAAGTTAAGATAATTAGTACTTAAAACAAATGAAACGAAAAGCTTGAAAATATTGTTTTGGTAAAATGGACCGACATGTTTTGGAAATCTATGAGCAACATGTCAGCCACATACATGTAAGAATTGTCACGCGGATAATAATTAAGGCAACTACGTGAATTATTCTTCGAAACTCTTCCAATAAAATTTAAAAAAGAAAAATTGAACATTCATTTCATCAGGTGGATAAATTTAAGTCAAGCATAGTCAAAACACTCAAAAGATTACTATGTAATAAAAATCAAACATTAATGGCTATAAATTTTATTAAAATGGTCTATGCTTTCTTATATGTATGTTGCTTCCTTCTTCGCTACAACCAGATTTGGCTCAGAGTTTCTATTCATAAATTTCTTCAGCTTGAGATTAAGGTCTAAGTATATATCAGAGATAACCTCCTTGTTCATATATTCTTCGTCCATTCACATGCATGCATCCATGCACTTATCTCCACTGATTCTGTCTTCGTGCACTGCTGTGTTTCATTATTTTGTATTCATCCAGACCAACCAGACACATCGTAATTGGTATCTAATTTGTAGAAACGTAAAAAAAGTCAATATATATTTAGATTTCATCAAATGTATCCGGTTGAATCCAAACACAACTGGCTATAATTATGAACACCTTTATTCTTTTCTGCATATTCTTGGCTCTAGCAACTCTGTTCTTTACTCTGTTTTTGGAACTGAGAACTCTGTTTTTTTGTTTTGTTTTGTGTTGTGACCAAGAAACTATGTTTTCTTTTCTCTGTTCTCATGTTGGTTTAAAATGGTTCAAATCACATTTTATTACAACCGTTTAGATATGAAGCAAGCGTAACCAAATCAACTAATCCCAATATGGGAAATAAATCTTTGAAAATCAAAAGAATAACCATATCAAATCATCAAATATTGAGGTAAAAAGGAAAACAAAGAAAGATATAAATAAATAGTGCCAAGTGCTCGAATTTTCTCGGTAACATGATCAGTTGAGGTTGCACTCCGTAGGCAGACCCTGAGGGAACCTCTTGTAATCAGTACAATAGTTATATATCATATAATCATCTTGCACCCATTTCATCTGTCCGTACTGGTTTGAGTTAAGGGTAGTCCACATCCACGAGTTGCTATTTGCGTTACATGTCACCCAACTCAACAACGAGGTCCGGCTGCAGCAGTCCACATCGTTGAAGCTTCTGTAGGAAGCGCTGAACGGAGCGTTGGTCCAATCGGTCTTGATTAGACCGCCTCGTGTGGCCCAATCATCTGCTTCCCAAAGACTTGAATAGATCTTCATTGGCTGGCTCTTGGGGTAGGCTACGCCATTAGCCTCGTTGTTCTTGAACACTCGGATTGGGATTCCATCCACGAGAAAGCTTTTGAGATCCAAAAACAAAAAACACAACTTCAAGAACAGTGATGGATTGAATCAAGATTCTTGATATTGGCAACTCAAAAGTCAAAACGGCTAAAAAGATGGAACTGATCAAGAAAACTAAGATTTGTTGATCATCGAGATAGTTCTGAACGTCCGATAAACCCTAACCAAAAAAGATTTAGACCATTCAGTTGAAACGGGATATTGCTTACATGATGTTGAGAGGGTTCCAGAGGACTGTGTAGGTGTGGAAATCCGCAGTTGGGTCGAACCATAGATAGAACTGCATTTCACGGTTACCTTTGCCTCCGGTGAACACATTTGTATGAAGAACGTAAGGCTGTCCGGTAACGTTACCCAAGAACTCGAAATCTATCTCATCCCATGTCTCGCCTTTAGATGAAAGCTGTGAAAACATTCTTAATATCAGATTCAAACAATGATCAATGCCACAAAAATTTTAAAGTAATGGTAATAGACTAATAGTTGGAAGTTATCACATACGTAGTAAGCAGTGACGGTTCCGGCTGAGTTTCCGGCCACGAGTTTCATCTTCATGTCAATCTTTCCGAACAAATACTCCTTCTTTGATTGAAAACCTGAACCGGAGGTCTTGTCGAGAGTGCAAGTCAAGAGCTGTCCACTCTCAAATATATTGGCACGACCATTTCCCCAAGTAATATCGAAATTGTCGTAGAAACTTCCGGCTGAGAGGCCGATCAAGAGCAGAAGAGACAACAACAACAGATATTGTTTGATTACATTAGCCGCCATTTTAAAAAAGTTTTTAAAATGGGTTATTTTACTCTGTCGTTGGTTGTTAAAAATATTTGGTTTCCGATGGTTTGAATAATATGATCGGAGATTGGTGTGTTTATATATATAGAGATTTCTCAAGAATAAGTGCACTGCATTAGAGAGGTTCGTGGTGTACCATTACCTACGTGTTGGTAGTCTTAAACTAAACATGTTTGTTAGTTTGTATACATGAATAAGAATTATGCCAGCTTCGTTACGTAGTCGCCCAACGTAACGTACATATAAACTAACAAACGCGTAGTTTTATCATTATCATTTGACAAAATTCACAAGCTCGTTTTATATAATGAATTATTAGACCAATTAGTTAGCAACTTAGCAATTTTTTAACTAGCTCTTTGATTATTCAAAGAAAAAAAAACATAAACCGAGGCTTACAAAAAGAAAAAATAATAAAATAAATATTATATAATTATGAAGAAGAATACTATTTGTTTTGATTTACTGAATGGACCGACATGTTTCTGATATATAGGAAGGACATGTCAACCACATATGTAAGAACTGTTACGCATATTCTTTGGCTTATAATAAAAACAAAAACCAGAATATTCATTTTCAGGTAAAGAATAAGATAAATCTCAGTCAGTCAATATGCCAAACAAAAAAAAAACACAAATCTCAGTCAATCATAGTCAAAATCACTCATACTGTCTACAAATGTTATACTATAAAACCGACACATCATCCATGGCACTAAATTTTCTTTAGGTTTAATTCAAACAGATCTTAAAGTGTAGATTATAGAACATTATGTAATTACAAAAATTTCTAGAAATGAACATAGATCTTTATTAGTTTGATTTTACTTTCTGAAATTTCTACAATGCATAATATAACATGAAGAAATGTGCGTCTATAATTAATATATACCATTTTATGTTTTGTTTTCTAAAAGATTTTACTGACGAAATATGCTTTGGGACAGAAGCCATAATTAAACCAACATAACTCACGCCCATTTTATTATGTAAATATCTACACAGAAACAGGGGAAATTGCTTAATAACAGAACCCGAATACAGAAAATACACATAATATAACATACATACTTAGTAGCTGCTAGAGTTTCGTAGCAAGCTAGAGTCTACACTCCTTTGGAAATCCTTGAGGAAACCTTTTGGTGTCCGTACAATAGTTATAGATCATGTACTTGCTCTGCACCACTCTCATCTTATCTTCCGCTGTTAGATCGAGCCTTTGAGAGAACCATCTCGGTGAACTGGCTGGACAAGCTGATTTTCCTCCCGCGGAAACGCATGCATCTGCTCTAAAGTTTCTGTAAGAAGCGGTGAATGGTGCCTTGGACCAGTCGGTCTTAACAAGACCTCCCCTTGTTGCCCACTGGTCTGCGTTCCATAGACTCGAGTATAGCCTCATCGGCTGCAGTTTTGGATATTGAATACCCATATGTTGTAGATTCTTGAATTGTCTCACCGGAACATCATCCACCATGAAACTGCAACAAAACACTCAATTGGTGAGATGGTTAATACTAAATCCGAATTTTGAAGTCAGTGTAATTTTTTAATTTGTAAATTGTGAATCTAACACAAATATTCTTCTAGTTAGGACAGAAAAATTAACTTATGTAGTATCTTTGTTGTGTATATTATATACTTACACGATGTGATGAGGGTTCCATAAGACAGAGTAAGTGTGGAAATCAGCGGTTGGATCGAACCAGAGATGGAATTGTTGTTCTCTATCACCTTTGCCTTGAGTATACACATTAGTATGCATCGTATACGGGTCACCAGTTAGATTACCAAGAAACTCGAAATCGATTTCGTCCCACGTCTCACCTTTTGACTTCAACTGCATGGATAATTAAAACAAAATCAAACTGTTATAATATCCAATGAGTATAAAAAGTGAACCACACTCTGTTATATGAAATTTGACGTGGTAAGTTGGCAGCTAACAAAAATATTTTCTTAAAGATTTTTAAAATATTCAAAAATTTATACTTAAGGTAATCACTTTTAAATTGGAGTTTTCCCACACATGCTAAAAAAAAAAGGCCTATGTACATATGTTATATATGATGTTAACTGTTAAGTGACACTAACGTAGTAGGCGGTGACGGTTCCGGCGGAGTTTCCCGGGACGAGTTTGAGCTGCATATCGATTTTCCCGAACAAGTACTCTTTCTTGGTTTGGAAACCAGAGCCAGAGGCACTGTCGAGGGAAAGGGTGAGAAGCTCTCCGTTGTTAAGGACCTTGCCACGACCATTACCCCAAGTGATATCGAAGTCTGTGTCGAAAGTTCCGGCTAAAACCGGAGAGAAGAGGGTCGAGGTGGAGACCACGGTGAGTGTGAAGAGTAGAGATAAGATCAAAGTAGAACGGTCCATGTTTTTTATGTGTCAATAAGATAGAGAATTGAAATCGTTCATTGGGACCTTATGTGTTGGGGTGGGTTTTATACAAGGTAGGCAAGTCCTAGTCTTTTTGGAGTTTTGTTCGCCGTTTGCGACTCTTGTGTAGTTTAAGTTGTGAACAGCTGGTTCTTTGTTGTGAAGTAAAAGCAAGCATGTGCTTAATTTTTGCCTCATGCAGTCATGCTACGTGTGTGCTTATTCTTTGTTTCGGTTCAAGTCTGCCTGATCCGGTTCGGTTGATGTCCAGTTTGGTTTAGAGATTCTGGTTGACTGGTTCTGCAAAATTTTAGGTCTTGGAGCTAATTTGGTATAAATTTTTTGACAATCCAACTATTAGACTATAGTTGGTTTTGTATTGTATATATAAATTTTGAACATTAGTATAATTGGTCCGGTTACACTAAAAACTAAAACCGGTTAATTTTGGGATTAAAGTAATAACACCAATCAAATTACATGCAAACTCCAGTTTGATTTCGATTATAGTAAAGTTATTGCTCGATTATAAAAGTGTGCCATTATAAAACCAAATAAAAACGTTATTGCTCCATTTTGGTTTTGGACTAAATCAGAAGCGGCCATTTTTGGACTGGCTCGGAGAATATATCGGAACGAACTACAGAGACTTATAAAAAAAATAGAAAAGGCAGAGTGTAACAAAGAGAATATTTATAACTTTAACGAACTATATAGTGCTACCATATTACAAACGAATCAATAAAATTCACGTGATCTACAATAAAATGAATAAAATTCATAACAACGACAAAAAAGTAAATTTGTGTTTCTCTCTTTTTAACTCTTTAGCTAAGTCTCTCTACGCAGCTAAACACTCTTTAGGAAGACCTTGTGGGAACCTCTTCGTATCAGTACAGTAGTTATAGATCATGTAGTTCCTCTGCACCCATCTCATCCTTTGTTGAGCCGTTGAGTCAAGCTGCTGTGACAACCACGAGCCAGTGGTGGTCCTCTGTTTCGAGCCACAAGAAGACTTGCCGTTTGACCAAACACAAGCTTCTTGTTTGAATCCACGGTACGAAGCAGTGAAAGGAGCTTTAGACCAATCAGTTTTGACCAAACCGCCTCTTGTGGCCCAATCATCAGCGTTCCAGAGACTAGAGTACATTCTCATTGGTTTGTTCTTTGGGAACAGAGTGCCTACAGACTCCATGTTCTTGAATTCTCTGATCGGAGTTCCATCGACGGTGAAGATGATTCTTTGTGGGTTCCAGAGAATGGAGTAAGTGTGGAAGTCAGCTGTTGGATCAAACCAGAGTTTGAATTGTTGTTCTTTGTCTCCTTTGCCTTGTGTGTAGACATTAGTGTGAAGTGTGTAAGGTTCTCCACTTGAATTGCCCAAAAACTCGAAGTCAATCTCGTCCCATGTTGTTCCTGGTGATTTCAACTGCACAAGATACAAAGACCCATCTCAGAAATATGAACTTTAGAAATGTAAAAGACCAAAAACTAAAACAGAGATATAGTTTTGTTCGAACTTACGTAAAGTGTAGTGACAGTTCCAGCGGAGTTTCCAGGGACAAGCTTCATTTGCATGTCGATTTTACCAAACAAGTACTCGTTCCTGGATTGGAAACCAGAGCCAGAGGATTTGTCAAGAGATAAAGTGAGAAGCTCTCCATTGTTCTTGATCTGTCCACGTCCATCTCCCCAAGTGATCTCAACGTCTCTCTGGAAATTAGCTGAAACAGAGGAGATGATGATAAGTGAAAGAAACAGAGGAAGCAAGTAACCGATGATGATCGCCATTTTTGTTTTTCTTGAGTATTGTGGACTTGTTCTTGTATTGTGTGTTGTATTTGGTTTGGTGGTTTTTGAGGGTTTATGGAAGAAGGTATATATAGTGGCTGAGCTAGTGAAGATTTTTGTAGAGGCGGTTCGGTGATAGAAGAGGGAAGGTTCGTATGGTGAAAGACACAAAAGCCAAGAGTCTTTGAGGCAACAGCTGGTGATTGGGCCATCTTCGTAGTAAAAGCTGTGTTTAATTGGCTTTGGTGTTCACGCGGTTTTTGTTTAGTGCTGTTTCTTTTTTTAGGTAAATAATTAATAATTTACTACTTTTTTTCTTTCTAATGTTTCAAATTTAATTGGATTTTGGAGTTCTTTTGCTCAGAAAAAGTTGGATTTGAGAGTTGGAAGCTTTACCACCGGCTTGGACCGACCTTAAAATAAGTGGAGTTTTGCTCTAATAGAACCAAGAGATTCTGTTATAAACCAAAAATAAAGAGAGGAGAAAAAGTGTTATTAATCTTTTAAAAAAGTAATTAGAATATGACAAATTTAATTATTTTTTATATAGTACATATGTTATTTTTATAATTTTTTCTATTAATATATTCAGTCGTTACTCAATTTTTGTAACGGTTTTGTTATTAGCGAGTGTTATTGTTCAATTAGTAAGGTAGCTCAAATGAAATTTAACTATAGTTAATTTGAGTTGATTTTTATCTTTGATAGTATTTAATATTTATTGTCATTGCCACTTAACATATTTAGACTGGTTAATGAAAATGGGATAAGGATAAACATTGAATTTTCTGTTTTTGTATTTTGTTTATAGTAGGAAGAAAATTGAAAACGAGGATAAGAAGAAGTTGACACGTTAAAGTAGGGATATGGTAGAGTAGTGGGTAAAATCATGAATTTGACTGACTCGAAAATGTTTTAAATGTGTCGTAGTGGAGACAGCTAAGACATTCAACTTGGTGAAGGTCTTGGCCAGGAAGCTTCTTTGTCCAAGTGGCTTCATCCTCAAAGCAGTCCCAACTCTTACGCAAAGTCTTTAGATATCAGAATTTGATAAACTTATAACTTCTCTTAAATGTTTTTGGTATATATACTTTTGTTTTTGTTTTTACGAAATCATTCGTTGTATGATCTTAATACAGTATGGGGGTTATATAACTATTCATCTTTTAAATCATTTTCATTTACAGATATGGATTTGGAACAGTTTCATGACCACGGTGAAAAAACTATCTTATGCTAATTTTCATAATTGCTTTTTAAACAAATTGATATGTTTTTTGGTTCAAAAAAAAAATTGATATGTTTCTCTCAGTTTAAATATTTTCTTAAGTTTTGGGTAAGAAAAAAGATTATCAGAAGATATAAAAGGTCTAAAAGTGAAACAATACATATCTTTATGGGCTTATCTAAGCCCACGAAACTTTAGTCCACTTAAGAGTTTCAGAAACAAAGAATTTGGACCAATTGGCTCGTTCGCACTTCGTCTCCCGTCTAGTTAACTTGCTCTCAAAGTTTTGATGCTCTTAAAGATTTCGCAGTCTTTATGTTAGAATATGGTGCTTAGAGAAGACGTTCAGTAGCCAACCCTTAAGGCTACGGAATGGGGTTTAAAAAGTAAAATTATGGTTGATACTTGATTACTACTTCTCGTCATCAAAGTTAACTACAGTAGAAACGAATGTTAAATATAATTTTTCTGAAACAATGTGTGAATTGTGGCCATTTGTTGAACCAAGTCTGATTTATTATATGGATAGACTCAAAGTTTGAACATGAACTGGCCATTGTCTCTGATTGGTTTCTATATATATAAACCTCATCCGTTATAAACGCATGGATAAAGTAGAATCTTTGAAGAATTGAAGCTCTTGTTGAAATTAAAACCCTTCAGTTTTAACAAGTGTCCACAAATACTATTCGTTCACTTACCATCTGTTGCTAATAAGCCAAAACACATTATTTTCTTCTCCTTCTATTCCTCTGTCTCACCCAAATGTCACTGTCTGTATATCTTCTCTTGACTATAAATTATCTGACCCACACCATTTAAATTTCCCAAAAAGAGGACATGGGTTGCTCACAAATCCTGATCCTTGTGTCTATTTTGTCATGCTTTACTTTCATGTGGTGCTTAGTGTTGGCAGGTGATTTCAGAAAAGATGTTGACATTATATGGGGAGGCGACAAAGCAAAGATACTACAAAACGGACAAGCCATTACATTATCTCTTGACAAAACCTCTGGTTCTGGTTTTCAATCCAAAGATCAGTTTTTGTTTGGTAAGATCTCTACGGACCTCAAGCTCGTCCCTGGAAACTCTGCTGGTACTGTCACATCTTACTATGTAAGAATCTTTAAAACCTAGCTATGAACCTTTTTTTGGTCTGATAGTATTTGATGTTATAAATATGACAAATGTGTGTGTGTTGTGTAGGTAGCGTCTCAAGGAGCGATGTGGGATGAGATAGATTTCGAGTTCTTGGGGAATCTGAGTGGTGATCCATACACTGTCCACACAAATGTGATCATGCAAGGAAAAGGTGATAGAGAACAACAGTTTCGTCTCTGGTTCGATCCCACGACTGATTTCCACACTTACTCCATCCTCTGGAACCCTAAAACCATAATGTAAAACACTAAATACTTAATCTCCGGTCCATTCACCTCTTAGTGTATATATAACAAACAAAACATATAGATATATTTAGGAGTCGGATCTTTGGCGCAGATTCTATGTGGATGGTACACCGATAAGACAATTCAAGAACATGAAGACAATGAATGTACCTTACCCTGAGAGACAAGCAATGAGAGTCCACTCAAGCTTATGGGATGGAGATGATTGGGCTACAAGAGGAGGACTCGTGAAGACTGACTGGTCCAAAGCGCCTTTCACTGCTTGCTACAAGAATTATGAGGTCCAAGACTGTGTTGGCTCTAATGTAACTTGCGGTGGTGATGGCTCGAGCTCGTGGCTCAAAGAAGGGATTGATGACAGTGGCATGAAAAGGCTTAAGTGGGTACAAAGGAACTTCATGATCTATGATTACTGCAATGACCCTAAGAGGTTTCGTCTAGGGTTGGCTAGTGAATGTGTTGCTAATGATATGATTTAAAACATTATAAAAAGAGTTATAACTTCACCTATTCAAGTTATACATACAAAATAAAAAAACACTGGCATACGATTACAAATTTACAAGAAAACTAGGTCCGGACCCGCGCTACAGCGCGGGGGAAAATTACCGGGTTTTTAGTCTTTTGTACGTTGCGAGATAATTTTATTTGTGTTTGCTTTACTTTATTTTGATCAGTAATTAAATTTTATCATTTTTAGATTGTATGTGTTGGTTTCGAATATGTTCAAAATTATTTAAATTGTATGATTTTAGTTGGATTGTTAATTTTAGAACAATATGTGACATATATACATGTATAAATATTATACAATGAAAAACAAATATTATACAATGAATCATTTTTAAAATTTAGGGATTGACCCGCGGTACACCGCATGATCATAAATACATGATTTTAACTTGGACCTTTCATGCAGTCTTGTAAAGTTGCAAATCTCTAGAATAAACAAATAAAGAGCCAATGATTTCTTATTTCTTATCGTGTTTAAATGTAAAATCTGTGTTGATGTTACAATTTTCTGGTAGCAAAAACTTATTTATATATATCATATTTTCTTAGGGTTAAATTGAAAAAAGATTAGTTTTATAATCAAGCCAGCAATTCGAAACTATTGCCAAATAAATATTAAAGATGGTCATAGAGAAAAAAAAATAGATATTAAAGATGGTTGAAAATGAAATATCCCGTAACTGGTGTGAAGATCATAGTTAATATAGGAGAAAACTATACATCCAAATATCAATATAGGATATTTAAGGAAGATTTTGTTTTGAAATATTATGGATAATTTGATAATGATTATTTTATATTTAATTTATATTTCTGATTTTTAGGTTAATTTGTTAAACCAATATACAAAATCATACATTAATGTATTTTTCCTTAAACAAATTAAGATTAATGTACTTTCCCAAACCGATATTGATGGTTTAATTTGGTAAATTTCGAAATAATATATATGGAAACTGGTATTTAATATTTTTAAATTTTTAGTAAGATCCAACTGAAAAATTCCGGGTTAATTTTTCTTTTAAAACCCGATCCAAGAAGCATTTGTACTTCTCTTTTACTATAGTAGGGATTTCTGAAGCTAGTTATTTGTGTAATGAGAAATTTATAATTTGCTAGAGTGACACTTACTACTAGTTATTACTAATTAGGCATTAACTAATGTTATTATTGTGGAAAATCAGACTATGATGTTAGTGGCATCCTTTGTTTGTGTTCTTATAATATTTATAACCTTAGGATATTGCAATAGCCATAAACTCTCGTTAGGACAACTGAAAAGTTTAAGAGCGTAACAAAATAAGTAATAATCAATTAAACATGACATTGATGTATCATGGAGCACAAGCCTTTCAGATAACTCCATCAAGTATCAAGTAAAATGACCAGAGATAGATTCTACTTGTTGAATCAAATATCTAAGCTTGTAGAGTCAGTTCTTAAGAGTGTTATTGTCTAAATGAGTCATCAATCAAGCATACTAGAAGAACAAGTGACATGGTGACCACTTGGTGAAGAACAACACAAGATACAAAAGCTCATATATAGCACACCTAACAAGTGGCATGATGAAGATACATTACACAAAGACGACCACTTATTGAACTAGACAAACCAAAATCCTAGCTAAAGCTCATAGAATAGATTGAAAGGAAAGGAACCAGAAAGACACATTGTTAAGCAACGGGGTCAGTTGGATGAAGCCAGAAAGGGGTGCGGACCAGGGAGGGTTCACCAAGGCGATCAAAGTTGAAGGGGCGGTCCGTACCAGAAGCCAGATCGTAAGAACCAAGCCTAGGGCCAACGTAATAGATGGAGTTAGGTTTGAGCCTAGGGTACTTGCTTGCCGAGAGAGAGAAGGCTTCACTTTTGCTAAGGAAGATGCAGACATCTCCAATATCTTCCGTGTAACAAAAGTCTTTGCTCATCCCATCTTGCCTAAAGATCATGAACCGCTTAGTACTGCTGTGGATAAATTCCAAATCCCCATCTTCGTCCTCTTTGTGAATGCACTGTGTGTACCTAGATAGAAACAAGCAGCTCAATAACTCTAATTTAGCTTGGATTGATTAATAAGTCATTCGAAATACTTACCACTTGATGAAGAAAAGTTCACCAGAGGGAGATTCCACTAAGTGGTTGGTCATGAAACATTTATCCAACATCTGCCAACCTGCCTCTGGGATCTTAGGCAGGTTTCTAAGCCGTAGGTGTTGATACTTGGGCTCGTAGTTGTTGCTGAGATCCAACGAAGCCATGTAGTTACCCTTAAAACTAGTAAAGTAGAAGACTTTGTCTCTCTTGGAGTACATGAGATCAGAGGCTGGTAAAAGAGAATAAGCTGTCTCGATGTGAGTCCACTTAGAGTCCCAACAAGGCCTACACACACTTAGCTGATACTCGTCGAACTTTGCAGCCACAGAGAAGTCGTCTTGGACAGGATCAGAAGAAGAGAGAGACACTCTCGTTTGATGGGTTGAGGGCTTGAACCCAATCGAAGGCAATGATATTACTTTTGAAGATGAGAGCCATGGCTTGTACACATCCGTGATATGTACGGTAAGGTCTTTGTTGTCCAGAGAAGCGGTCCAACCTTGTGATGCTCCCACAAGAGGTTTCCCATTGAGCTTCTTGGGAAGCGTCTTCTCACTGCTAAACACTGTCTCTTCAGTTGTCGGATCGAACAACCTGTGCTTCCCGATTTTACCCTCCGGAGACTCTCGCAACTTCTTACCGCCCATCAGCAAATACGGTAACTGCGGCAACGATGAGAAGAGACGAGCATTGTCCTTGCGTACCTGTCGATGTCATACTTAAACCATTAGTACATAAACCAAACTAAGAGGAACAAAGAAATTGTGATGTGGAAGAGAACAAAGATTAGTTTGTATCTTACAGAGAGAGTCAAGACGCGGCTGAAAAACAGAGTCATTGTTTTGTCTATCTTCTTTCTCTGTCCCAAAACCTAATTGCTCTTCTCTCTTATTCAAAGACCTCAGACCTGTTTGGCTTTGGAAAATTTCCATAGTTAGTATTTCTTCCATTTCACTAAATTAACTCGAGATGCAACATCCCAAAAATGGCAACCTTTCGTATCGATAGCGCTGCAGAGTGCAGAGGCAACAACACCCTACACACTACACATCATCATCATTCAATTGCACGCGTTTCACTCTTATTTCTTATTGTGGCCCGTTTGGTTCTAATGGGCTTTATTTTAAAATACGAAGCCCATATCTAATAAGCCGAACTGAGACCGTCTGTGTTGTATTGTTTGACTTCGGTGTTGTTTTAATTTTACTTTGATTATAAAGATTGGTTAAATTAGAATGAGAAGAAAAATGCAAATGTAACGCAAATTAACCTTAACTAAACGTAGTACACGATGACGGGTCACACTAATGCAGTAGCAGAAAGCCAGAAATAAATAAAAATTGAACACTTAAGGAAAAAAGAAAGATAACACATTCATAACGTCATTATAAAGATCGATAGAACCACGGGAAAAGAAAAGCATATTTAATACTTATACTTGCAGGCGTCGCAACCAAAGCAGAAATTGCATCCACCGTCACATCCCGGGCAACCACAACGGGTACACCCAGGACAACCACTGCAACCGCCACCATAATCTGGTTTTTCACCGACGTTGGTTCCTTGTCCCTGCCCGGAGTCTTGACCAGAGGAGGGTTTGTTTTGTCCCATCGGTGTCTCAAGCATTTTCTTATTCTTCTTTCGGACGACAAGGCCACCACCTCCGGGTATGTGACTAGGGAAAGGAATCATCTCCATCTCCTCCATCTCGTCTTCTTCTTCATCTTCTTCTTTTGGAGGAGGTACGGTGGAGTACCATTGGTTTGTTGTTGTTGATGCCACCGGACGAGCAGCTTTAGCTCGTGAAACCATCTCCTTCGCTGCAACACTCACTGCTTGTTGTGATAGCCTTCTCATTTTTTTTTGGTTTCTCTCTGTCTTTTCTCCGTGACTCATGTGTTCATATTATATACACAAACGCGACTGCGATATATGGAGCCCTAGTTTTGCATTAAACCCCCATTTCCCCCCCCCCCCTTGCGGGATAGTGATCTCTGTGTTGATGACGATGTGTTATAATCAAGGACTGCGTCTGCTCCTCTGCTACCATCATAATGATCTTGTACGAAATGATCGCACAAGTCTCATCCATCAATTTCAAATTTTAACTCTCCCTTGGTCATATATATATCATTCCTAAAATTAACCAGTTAAGCTTTTTTTGCATGCAACTAAAATGTTAACAAAATATCTTAGCATGCATACAAATGATACAATATTTTGATGTAACTTTAATTTTCTAAAAGAGAGTTCATGTGTCTAACGATTGAGTTACATACATTCACTTTTCAGACCCAATATGACCACACGTTATACATACTTAATTACCAATCGGATTTTGAAGATCACAAACACACACATACCCTCCAAACCTAATAGTGTAATATTGTGATCCACAAAATATATCCAGTGAAAGACCAGCAAAAGAATTGAAAATTATTGTTTTATTCTAACAGTACTTTAAGACATTTTTGATAACCAATTTTTTTTTTTTTATGTATGTGAGATTTTTTTTTTGGTTAGAAGAACGTACAGAATCAGAGACTGCAATCAGAGACTGCTACTGCTCGTCTGCTTCCATCATTACTTACAACTGACACTTGCAGCTGTGATGTACGTTGGTCGTTGAACATAGAATAGACGAAAGAGTAAGACCATCCTTATTGGAGGGTTCTTATAAGTAAGATTTATCAAAGAGGGTATGTTATATAAGATACCCTCTTTGATAAATCTTACCTATAAGAACCCTCTAATGAGGATGCTCTAATATCACACTGTTTTTCCTTTTACTCGCATAATTCGAGGATCACAACAATGATATAAAAATTATTTATTTATTTCCTTGGTAAAATTTTATTTGGATATAAGAGGGAGCTCTTTTTATGGGTCGATGGTTTTGATATTAAACGCATTCGCCATTTTCTTAATTCACCTTACTGATCAAATATATAGGACAATTTTCTCAAAGACATTTAATCCTTTTCTTGCAAAAGACAAGTGTCTTATCTATTTAGTAACTATAGCTTTCATTTCTCTCTAGTAAACCCTTCTGGAACAAATGAGTCCATGAATCTCTCCATTTATTTCGTGCAATAGATGCCAATTTCAAGTAAGTGGGAAAAAATTTAAAAAGTAGACAAACTTAACTTAACAACTGTTGAAAAAAAAAAAAAAAAAAATACACTTAACGTACAACTGTAAGTCTGTAACGTACGTAGATGGTTCATTAAATACTACAGAGATATAACGGATGGTAAATTAGTGAAGGTAACAAGAGTCTTTAACAGAAATAAGAGTCACTGACTCACTATGAACGTGTTTGACCAAATTAAATATCATCATTAATTATAATATACTACGTACTTGAGAAAATGATAGATTAGTGAAGGTAAAAGAGTATTTTATACGGAATAAAATCCACGTTAAGAAAATCGGAAATAACTAAACAACTAAACCACAAAGACATACTTACCGATCTCTTTCATATTGGAAATTAAGAAAAGTTTTTCCAAGATTTGCAAAGAGTGATCCACTAGGTTAGTATTTTAATGTAGTAATGTAATTGTTAAGACAAATATAGTGGCAACGTTTCTTGGGGGTCTCACAAACTTTAACATTGGGAGATTGCAAGAGCCATAGAGTCTAGGTACGATGACTAAAGTCTGATCAGAAACACAGCCGAATATAAGTAAATAATAAAGGAAACATTACACTGAAGTTTCGTGGAACATAATCCTTATACAGATAGTAGTAACTCAAAGAGTATCAATCATCTTGATGAAGGTACGGTGGAGTAGCATTGTAACCACTTATTGGACCAAAATTCCTAGCTAGAGCTCAAGCAGAGATGGATGAATCGAGAAGGGCGCATATGGGGTCAGTGGGATGAATCCAGAAGGGCGCACTGATGCCATTGGGAGTACCAGGGGGATTGTAGGTACGAACAGTACCAGAGCCAATATGATAACAACCAAGTCCCGGCCCCATGTAATAGATGGAGTTAGGCCTCAGTCCCGGGTACATGCTCGCGGAGAGACAGAAAGCTTCACCCTTGCCAAGGAAGATGCATAGATCTCCAATATCTTCAGTGTAGCATAGGCCTCTGCTCTTCTCATCTTCTCTAAACACCATGAATCTCCTTGTTTCGCTATGGACACTTTCCACTTCCTTGTCAATGTTCTCCCAGTGCAAACACTGGCTGTACCACTTGACATAGAAAAATTCACCGGAGGGGGATTCCACAAAGTGTTTGGTCATGAAACATGCATCCAAAATCTCCCACTCGGCCTCTGGGATCATTGGCAGGTTACAGAACCTCAGATGTTGATACTTGAGCTTGTAGTTGCTTAGATTCAAAGAACCCATGTAGAGACCCTTGTCACTCGCAAAGTAGAAAGCGTCGTCTCTTTTTGAATACATGAGATCCGAGGCTTGCAAAAGTTGGAAAGGGGTTTCGAAATGAGTCCACGTTGAGTCACAGTTAGGCCTGCAGACACTCAGATAAGACTTGTCGAACTTTGCAGCCACGACACAGTCGTCTTCGTCAGGAGAAGAAGACGAGAGAGATACCTGTTTCAGACCAACACGAGGGGAGAAGTCAAGAGCAGGCAAGGACATGACTTTTGGTGATGAGACCCATGGCTTGAACAGATCAGTGAGATGTAATGAAGAATCCTTCTTGCTCACACAAACAACCCATCCTTGCGATGCTCCCACTAGAGCCTCTCCATCGATCTCCTTGGGATACGTTTTCTCGCTGCTCTTCACCGTTGTCTCCGTCCGAGGATCGAATAACTTGTGCTTTACGACTTTTCCGCTCTCAGAAGGCTCTTTCACCTTACCACACAGAAATAAGTAAGGAGACTCGGGCAGTGATGAGAACAAGCGAGCATTACTGACCCTGCAAGCCTGTCAATTTCCACAAACAGAGTAAAAAATTCAAAAGCAGAATCAACCAAGTGAAACAGTAAATTGTAAATCCCAAATCAGCTCTCACCGAGAGAACAAGATAAGGGCAAATACAGCCTAGAAAGCAACCACTGAGGTAGAAGGATCGCTTCGAAGAACTGGATTCGATGATGGATGATGATATGGTGATAGATGATGATGATCGTGAGAGAGAGTAAGAGATTGAAGAAGATAAATTGTGTTTGATTGATTAGTTTGCAGAAAGTAGCTCAGCCTTACATATATAGAAGCGACAAAGATGCAAAACCTAAACCATAAATTATAATTAACTAAACCAGAGATAGCCCAAACCATGTTCTTAACCGGTTTGTCCTGTCACAATACTCCCTTCTTCAGAACATCCTTGTCCTCAAGGATGAAAGGATGCTCATAAGTGAAAGGGTCTCCATGTAGCTTGGTCGGGAGGATGCACTTTCCAATTAACAAAGATCTTGGTGATAGCTTTGCTGTGGTAGTTAAACCTCTTCAAGTTCGTGTCTATAACTGGAGCAAAGATATAATAGCCTTGAATCGGTAGAAAACTTGTGATAAAAACTAGAAAGCTCTTGTATCTTCTCTTAGCCCTGTTCTTAGCATTTGTAAGCTTCGTTTTAAGTTCCTGTGAAAGCTCCATCAAATAGGTAAGAGCTTTCCAAACACTCGTTATCATCCTCTGTTTCAGCTTGGAACCAACGAAAAATTCGTGAAGCTTCTCAATGAACCTCAATACTCTACCCAGCTCAATACTCAAAAACTCGTTATCATCCTGTGTCCATAAACAGATTACTACTTCTTTTTCAAGCTTCATGTTATGAATACCCAAGTAAACCAAAACCTTTCTAAACATCTTTGTAATTCTAGCTTCAGTTTCCCTTAGCCCATTCTTTTCTTCAACATAAATCAGCTCTTGCTGCATCTTTTGGCCTACATCTAGCAACCTTTTACCATGCACAAACCACAGAACTGCTTCTAATTGTTCCCAGCATAACAATATGCATGTATCCACCTGTTTTTGCTCATGTGCATCATCTTGTTTGTCTTCTAGATAAAGAGTCTTGTTACTCCTTTTTCTGTCAAAAGATTTGAACTCCTCAGGATAACAGTTCACCACTTGCATTTGCGAATATCGAAATGTTTCAACCTCAAGTGATTCTTCGTATGGCGTCAATTCTTTCTCTGACCAGTCCAAGAGATCTAATTGAGCTTGTAAACCGCCTGGTTCCCATACACGGATCTGAACTGGTCCACTATAAACTGCTGGTTTTGAACTCTCATCAACTAGCTTATATCGATCAATTGTTCTCCTCCTACAAGAAGCAACAATGATTTTGAACTCTTTGACGAACTGATCCCAATTTTTCTCTTGAGAAACTTTACCAAGCAAAGCAGTTTCTTCCAACAAAGGGAACTTATCAAACATCAGTTTGCTTCTCTTTGAAGTGGTTTTGAACTTAAACTTCCAGCCCTTAAGATACTTCCTCTGTTTTTCTTCACTTGTTACTCTTAGAAGAATTTGATCAAACAGCTGGTGTGCAACGATTTTGCCATTACCACTTGTTAGTTGTCGAGGCAATTTTTTTACTTCCTCAACATATGAATCAATTTTATGAACCAGTAAGACATCGTAAACAGAGCTTGGAATCTTCAATACTAAGTGAAGCTCTAACGGTTCGGTGAATGAGTCGGAACTCTTCAAATTTTTCACGTTTGGAGCAGGATTTATCAAAGTTTCACGTACTGGACGAGTCTCTTCTTTATCACCAGAAACTTGATCATCCTCACAATCCTTCATGAATATGTGTACTCCCTTGTGCTTCAGATTATGATGACCAAGAGTATCTAATTCATCACAAAATATACACAAACCCTTGTCCATTCTTTCAGAAACCTCTTCACATGAATAAAGAAGCTTCTTTGGCTTACAAACTGACTTGGTCGTCGATTGTGGTTGTGTATCCGCCATGAAATTTGGTCCGAAGAACTCGAAGGCTCTGATACCAATGAAACAGTAAATTGTAAATCCCAAATCAGCTCTCACCGAGAGAACAAGATAAGGGCAAATACAGCCTAGAAAGCAACCACTGAGGTAGAAGGATCGCTTCGAAGAACTGGATTCGATGATGGATGATATGGTGATAGATGATGATGATCGTGAGAGAGAGTAAGAGATTGAAGAAGATAAATTGTGTTTGATTGATTAGTTTGCAGAAAGTTGCTCAGCCTTACATATATAGAAGCGACAAAGATGCAAAACCTAAACCATAAATTATAATTAACTAAACCAGAGATAGCCCAAACCATGTTCTTAACCGGTTTGTCCTGTCACACCAAGAAACAAACTATATGATATGAGAGAGATGAGTGTGTTATTATCTTACAGAAAGCTTTGAGATTCGGCTGAGAAACAGAGCCATTATTGTCTTCCAAGCTCCCAGAAAAACCCTAGCTAGCAGTCCCTAGAAGTTGCTTATGATGCCTTTTAACTCTCCTTCTCCATCTTCTCTCTCTTTATAAAAGGGCCACCACATAGCTTTTGCTTAGTAAAGTTTCCATTTTTCTTAAACACACACTAGTCACTAGAGATGCGAAGATCCCGAATATGGAAACTTTTGAAACCCCAAGTTTCCCATCTTCACTAATAATGATGATTTACTGTATTAGGGTTTTCCTTTTTAATGGTTATACAGTATTTTTTTAATGGAAAGTGTTAGTTTCTTTCACTTCCCATTAAAAATAACTCCAATGTCTCTTTTCCTTATTAGGCACTAATGTAGTAATGTCAGTGTTGAGACAAATATATATAGTGGCATCGTTTCTTGAAGTCTCGCAAACTTTGAACACTGGGGGATTACAAGAACCATATTGTCTAGGTACGATAATGAAAAGTCTCAGAACACAACCGAATATTAAGGGATAATCAAGGTAACATTACACTGAAGTTTCGTGGAACATAAGCCTTACAGATTGCAACTCAGAGTATCAAATAAAAAAAAGGACCAGACATAAATTCTACCTGTTGAATCATTTATCTAAGACTGTAGAATCAGTTCTTAAGAATGCTACCGTCTAAATGAGTCATCAATCAAGCATATTATAAGTCTCCTGCTTCATAAAACACACATCCACTGAATCTAACTGTACACTTCCTTTTATACAATACCTCAAGGCACTTCACCTCCATTCGCGCTGCCTCTCCTCTTGTGGCCCTTAAGCTTCAGTCTCCATTTGGTAAACACTGCTTGAGTCAATTCAGTGTTGTTACCATAATGAGGGTATGATCATGATGAAGAATGACCACACTATTCGCCATCTTCATCATCATCATCAAGCTCTACAATCTGTGCTCGCCTCTCAGCAGCTTTCCTCCTGATGAAGAACCCCCACCTCATTGCTGCTTTTATCTTAAGCCATCCAACAACAGCTCTGCCTGATCGACCACGGTCTTCATCATAACCTTGCATAGGCGTGTGCAGAAACGATGGGAAAGTGTATCCATCTTCTGGCAAGTGTGTTGCAGAGCCATTGCCACCCCCTCCCATGCTGAATAAGCGGAGGAACTGTTGCATGTCTTCGCTCTCGAGCATTTCATGGCTTCTGAGTCGGATCTCTTCCTCTGAGAAGAAATCTTCTGGTCCTCTCTCGCGGTGGTTTGACCAGTCTTCTAAATGATTGAGATTTGCCTGGTGAACAGAAGAAGAGTTGATGTTTTGGTACCCGCTTGTGGATGATTGTGGAGGACCGAGAGCAAGACCATTCATGTTTTGAGTTTGATGTAAGTTCCCCATCAGCTGGTCTTGTGTTGTACTGCACGAAGCAACATCAAATTGTGCTCGTGGGTTACTGCATGAAGCAACCTCAAATTGTGCTCGTGGGTTGGAGTTCAAAAGCTGGGGCTGAGAATGATATCTTGTTGCCAAAGGTTGATCATACCCTGGAGATTGATCAAATTAAACAAAACATATAAGATTTAGTAATTTTACTATAATACATATTACCAAGAAATTAACTGCAGTATGCAAACCTGCAATAGCAAAATCAGAAAGCACTGGAGACTGATTAGCCGGGATTGAAGATGAATGGCCTGTCATCTGCATTGGATGGTCGATGGCAGCAGTAGAGTAATTTGCCAGATCATTTTGAGTAATACTTAACCTGTTAGGCTGCTTCAATTCTATAAGAGATTTTCCATCATACTCTATGACTAGGTTCCAGTTTTCATATGCTTTCTTCACTAGCCCATCAACATATACCTTTAGAACACAGAAGTGAAAGACAGAACCAAATTTGATAAGTCTCTTCTCTTAAAGTGGTTTGGAAAGAATGTAGATAGTAAATTACTAATCATAACTCGTAGCAAAGCAAATAATGGTATTAAAAGTTAAGCAACATGGTGCAAACCTTTTGGCTGCCAGTAAGTGATTCAGCAGAGAAGTATTGATCCCCAGAAATGAGGCCACTTAGCTCATAGATATTATTGAACACAACACCAACGTTCCTTGAATCCTCAGCATAGTAGATATAAAGCTTGCTGCTCTGGACACACGTCTTTGCATGCTCTACTAATGCATCCCACATTTTGTTTGACATGCCACTTCCAAGAATCTAGATAAATATATAATTATCCATGGTGTCATTCATTATAATGAATATCTCTTTCAAAAGCAAAAAACTTTGACATAATAAGCACTTACAGTACGTAATTTGCCAGAATCCGTGACCATCATTCTCAAAAAATCTTCCACAGTTTCAATTCTTTCTGCATTAAGCTTTTTATGGAATGCACCATCCTTGCCGATCTTCTCCAATCTCCAGACCTCATCAGTCAGAGCAGGTGGATAATGCTTCTTGTACACTGCACATAAAAGAAATGTTCATAAACTAAAAGAAGTAACACCATATGGGACAAAAGGAAAAAGGTGGAGGTCTTAAGACCATACATTCGCCCCTATGATCCTTAACAATAAAAGCTTCCGTCTTTGCCTCACGGATACGCATGTCATCACAACACCCAGAAACGACCCGTAAACCAAGTCTGAACTTTCTGCTTCTAATCCAACTCGAATTATCAGTGAAAACTAGCTCTCCCAAAGTTCCAACCCCTTCCTTAAGAGTGACATACACATCTCCAGTCAGCAACGGTCTCTTTCCTGCACGCTCTTTTACAACATGGCTTTCAAATTCTTCCTGTGTCCAGTCTTCATCATCTTCACTGTTAAAGTCACCCTCAAGCACAACAACCTGAAGTTTAGCTGAAGCCTCTGGACCATATAACACAACACGCCCAGTGTTTGCATCAATCAAGACAACATGAATTGCAGCACCTTGCTCTCCTTCTACTTTCCCCCCAGTGAATAAGGGGAGAGATAGTCTAGATTTGAAGTGCAACCTTAATTTCCGGCCATCTGGACCTTCGATTCGCTTTGGAGAAGATCCAGAACTGCAATGTAATTAAGAAACCTCAGGAAACCGTTATCTAACAATTGAAAAGCATATTGCAATGTCAAGAGCCATTAAAAGTTTGAGAGTTTACCTTCCAGAAAGCCTAGCAGGGCCTAGTTTTGCCAAAGCACGTTCCACTTCCTCGCTAACCTACTCAGTAACAACCCCCACATTAAGGATAGCTAATTTCTAAGAAAAGGCTAAACATAAAATTCTAAGTAACAGTGACAAGAAGAAAGCAGCAGGGAAAGACTGAAGCTGAAGAAAAGAAAGAGAACTTACAACTCGGCGAAGAATAGGTTCCAAAGAAGAGCAAAGCTTCTGCAAACTGTCTACTTTCAGAGCCTCTACAATCACACTGGGATAACCAAGATAAAATAACCACAAAGTCAGAAACTTTTCAGTAGAAACAGTTGTAAAGTCAGACACTTTTGAGTAGAAACAGTTGTATAAGAACTAAGAGAAGGAGGAAGGATAAGAAATAAAACCTAGCAAGAGCAGGACGTTTACGCTCAGGCTGATCATCATCGTTCCCATCCAAATTCCTCTTAGCTCTATTCATATTATTATTACCTCTATCCATCGTCTACTACTTCTGCATTCTCCCCCAAAAAAACAAAACCCTAATTTCCTAGATCTGCAAAATCACATCAATTAACAATCTCAAGACAGCACAAACAAAAGCTGTCCATTAAATCAAAAACCTTACAAAACAACATCCACGAGAATTGACACCAAGGCTATTACAGCATAAGAACAAAGACCCTAAAATCAAGTAACCAAATCTGAAAACCAAAACCCACGTCATAGACTACAGAAGACTTCCCGTAGACCTCTATCGGTAGTGACCAAATTGAAAGAAACAAATCAACGACTAAGAAGACAAGTAAAGAACTAAGAAGAAAGTACCTGTATCCCGGAGACAGCGAAAATCACCGACGAATTTAAAAAACTACCGGCGTTGGATTGAGAACAATGATTAAGTAGTGAACACAAGTGGAATTTTTTTTTTCTTTTGATGATAGTTTCCAGACCGAACAGTCTCCTGTTTTGAGTCTTCGCAATTTGTTTTTTTTTTGTTGGATTAATCGGTCAACTAAGGCGACTCATTGAGCTCTTTACAAAGTGCTTCTAGTGGGGATTTAATCGTGTGCGGTGAGGTCTACGTTTTCTTATAATGTCATCTGCTACGATTGTCGTTAACGGCTTTGGCGGGGCCCACTAAGACTAATAGAGGTCGTTAGTTTTTGTCGATTAATCTCAGCCGTCAGTTTCCATGTCGGACTCTAATCTTTTACACTTATAATAATGGAAGGGGCAACTTTTACTTCACCAAAAAATGATATTTATTTTTAGTAATTTCCATAAACCGATAGATCTCGTTACAATAGGACAACCAACGACGACTTGGGAGAGCAGCTTTGGGTTTCATGTTCTGTTGAAGTCTCCGAGCCTTTTGTAGAGCTTAGTGAGCAAACGACGGCAGATTTCAGGAGACGTGCAAGGGCCACACATGAGATAGATGACGTTGCCGAGAGGACGAGTGAAGATTCCGTCTTCTCTGAGCATCTCTAGAAGTGACTTTGCATACAACGAAGCATACCTGACAGAGAACGTTACAAAAGTTTTTTGTGTATTCAATGGGGGCTAATGTATAAAAATGACTGTCGATTTGAGAAGTTTTGTAACAAGTAGATTACCCAGAATTGGAAGCATCTGCTTTTAGTTCTAGAGCGAAAAGGGTTCCTAATGCAACCACCCTTTGAACCGCTGAGTGTGAGGATATCTGTTGCACTAGTTCTTCATCCCACAGCTGCAAAATTTATTAATACCAATTAGTAATAGCTGATTTGCTATTGATTACAACATATTGACCTACCTATCTGGACTTGCGCATTAGTTGTCCTATTACCTCTCTTAAGGTTCTTTGTGAAGTGATATTATGGTTAGTTTCTGGATCTTTGAACCACTCGATGGCTTTGGCAGCTGTTGCGCAACCCATAGCATGAGCCGAGTATGAGTGCCCATGAAGCAAGGCTTTGAGCTACATTTAGTCAGGAAAAGCGGAATCAGAAATGCTTTAAGATGGTTTTGATGACAAGTAGGAGCTTACTGCTTTCGTTTTACCTTAGAATCTCCAGCAAATGAATCAAATACAGCATCTGTGGCAAGAGTGACCGCCAAAGGAACCATTCCACCAGTCAACAATTTGGCAAAGCATGCTATGTCCGGTTTGCAACCCAGAAGTTCCGTAGTAGTCTTGGTCAAATCATAGTCATTTGTTAGTAGAATGTAAATGGAATGCAGCAACAGAGATATATAAAAATATGATATAAGATCAAATCACAGTTGACTACCTCTACTCCAAGACGCCAGAATCCTGTGAACACTTCATCGAAAATGACTGGAATTTTTCTATTCCGGCACACATTGACTAGAACTCGTTGGAAAAGCGGATCAACCATGTGCATTCCCCCAGCACCATGAATTACTGCAGATAAAATCGCAACCTTAAAAAGTAGATTGCATCTAGCAATCTAGATAGAGAGACCAAGGAAGCTAAACCTTACTAATTGTACACTATTTAAAGTCATACTAACCTGGTTCTATTATCAGTGCTCCAACATGGGAAGATTGCTTAACTCCAGAATACTCTTGTATATGCTTTGATACATAGGCCGAGTATATTGTTGCAAGAATTGACGTGTCTCTGCTCTTGTCAAAAATCTCATCACGGGTGGTGAAGGCTGTAAGAGTTGGGAATACTAAATCATACAACTAAAGGAACTGTACTGGACTATAGCAGAGAGAGGAAAAAATGCTACTTACTTCCATATTCTTTTGGGGCAATTTCAGAAAAACTTTCAGGAAGGGAGATATTCCAGGCTCCTTTGGAGAGAAAGACAGTCGGAGGATCGAGAAACAGGCCTCTTCCAGTATACCTACAATGCAAATATAGATGCGAACCTAATAAAAAAAGCTGAGAATGACAAATGCTTGCACAATACAATTTGGGTGCGTACGAGGTAAAAAAGGTGAATTCTTGCAGGTGGTGATATCTAGATGTAATCATGATCATATCCAAGGAATATCAACTCTATCTAAGCACCATTAAGGGCTGGTTGATATGCAGTTAGATCCCTTTTCACAATGGTGCAGGAGATGCATATGATCCAAGAATGCTTAATTCAGAAGATGAATGTTGAGAACAAAATTCTACAGAAATGGTCAAGTGAGAATCATGACAAACAATAGAAAGTTCCCTACCATGGCTGCTGGAGAAAGCCTGTATAAGGTGATGCTGCTTGGGCTTCCATCGCTCCTAAAGTATCTCCATGATAAGACCCCCGAAGAGCTAAGACCTAAGACAGAACACATATCAAATTTTTCACATTAAAACCGTAAGGCATATGACAAAACAGCATAAGTGAAGATAATCATCTATCTGAAAACGATGAACTGCCAGGAAAAGGACAGCACATGCTTTTTAGTAAGCGGCGAAATGGACAACAAATGTTCAATAACAGGTACACAATAAAATGCCTATAGCTAGTTGAGTATTAGAAAGATGATTGTACCTTAACCACAATATGCTCTTCCTCTTCTGTAGCCTCGCAAAGGTTATGATCAACACAAAACTTACGAAATGCCATCTTCAGGGCAATTTCGATTGCTGTGGATCCATTATCCGAGAAGTATACTCGAGAAGCCCAGCCTGCATATATAAATTAATTAGCCATCCCACAATGTTTGAAAAACAATGTGACAGAAACAAGTTTAGAAACCTTTTCCCACTCCATCTAATAAGAGCTCAGCACACTTCAAGGCAGGTTCATATACATTCTCAGGGAACATAACATGTCCGAACCTAGCAGCAGTGTAACCCATTTCTCTAGCAAGCTCAGCCTGAAACAGCCTAAACAAAAAATCAAAATAAACTTCAGAAGATTCATCACAGAAAAAGATAAGCATCAAAATGTTATGACGCAATAATGCATACGGAAATGATTTTTGTCATCAAACAGGGAAATAATGGGCACAAATGACCTGGAAAGCAGGATCTGGCCCCTGTGTCCACCAGCTTGCACAAGCATCAAATTGCTGGGTAATAGCAGTGTTATCGGAAGCCTAAAAATGATGACAGAAAAGGTTACATTAGTTACAGCAAATTCTAGATGGAGATATCTGACACCATAAGAATTCATGCCTTCCAGGTAACCAGATTCCTTTTGACTGTACTATTCACACAAGACAAAGATGCTGACATGTTATGAAGATAAGGATTTTTTCCATACAAACCTTGTATACTGAAAAGTTTTCACCACATCTGGAGTCTATCACCGTCACAGCTTCTTCAGGCACAAGTTTATGCTGAGTAAACGGCCACCAGAAAACCTCCCCTGCTTGCTTGGCCATTCTGTTTAATCTTTCTAATCTCGCCAAATAAGCTAATACCATTCTCTCTTTTAAATCTTTAAACACAGCATCCGATTCAAGAAACCATTCAATCAGATCATCTGACGGGTCCTTAGGAATAGGCGGAAGCACGAGCACTGGTACCCTATCAGCCAAAAATGTTCAAACAAGAATAAGGAAAGTAAAAACAACAAAGCTTCTAATGAAAGAACACACAGGGATAAAAATAAAATAAAAAACTTATAACGCCACACAGAAAATTACTTATTCCTTAGATATGACGTTAATGGAACTTCATTAACAAGGCCATGATCTTCAAAAACAACAGCAGCAATGTCATATCCTCGAAGTTTTAGACTTTCATAAGCTGCAATAGTCCCTGAGATACCACCGAGCCGACCATCTCCAACTAGAATTCCGGGCAATCTAAAAGGCCTAATTTCAGGGATACAATACACAAACATAAGTAAGAGATAAATCAAATTCGATCTCCTAAACATTTTTGTCAGGCATGTCAAGTAGAAGATAAGTGTTACCTGTAGAGATCACACTGAAGAGTTCCCGATGGTCCAGGACTAGCAACTCCACCGGCAGTCTCCACCAGACATAGTAAATCCGATTTCTTGCTTCCCATCTCTTCTGTCAAACATCTTTCAATCATCCGTAGCACGACGGAGTCCTCAACCGGCCCATTTTCTCTCTCCGCAGCTAAATGAGGGGAGATAGCTGCCTCCCAAGCATACAACGTCTTGCACATAAGTTCCGGCGCACCGGTGGCCGTCTTCTCCTCCCGGAAATTCAAATCACACATCCCATCCTCGCTGACTTCAACATTCAATCCCATAGACTCTGCAGCGGGGAGTGAAGAACGGAGGACAGAGTTGGAGACTGAAAGAGGGATTCGGCGGCGGAGGGAGAGTGAATCGAGCTTGGAAAAGACGAAACGAGAATCGGAATCGGACGGGAAACCAGTCTGTAAGGGTTTCAAATAGAGGAGTTTCGCGGCGGAAGAAGAGGGTTGTTGGAGGAGGAAAGAGGCGGCGACGCCTGTAGAGACGAGGGTTTTGCCGAGAGAAGTGTTAGCTGACCAAATTAAGTAGGTAGGATGATTAAGTGGTAAACGAAAGGAGTGAGGAGGAGGAGAAACAGCAGTGGAGCTGAATCTGATGCGATGGCGCAAGTGCCGGAGACGGTGGCGGAGGAGAGTGGCCGTTACCGGTATCATTGTTGGTGGGTTGGGGTTGGGGGAGTGAAGTGGCGGAGAGTGTGAGCGAGTGTTTTTAACTAGTAGAAAGAGTCGTTGTGGTTTGGAGGGTAAATTTGGTATTTTACTAGATGTGTTTGGTGTCTCCCGGATCAATTAAGTGGGCTAGGCCCATTAATATAAGATTAAGTAAGAGTAGGACTTCGAATAGAGCGGGCGCACACGCTTTGGAAAATGTGCCAACTGTCGCTATATGATTGGAGAACACGTGACGCAGACGCTACGTGAGCGCGTGTGTGTTGAATGAAAAACTTTAATTAAAATGTGACCACATTGATTGGATGTCATAAATGTCACCATTTTATTTTTATTTTCCTAGAAAGAATTTTCTAAAAGGTTTTTAATTAATATAATTAGGGAACATCAAAAAAAAAAAAAATTGATGGAGAAACGTTAAA